AAATCTCGCAGAAGCCACTGTTCAGTGCAGATGACTTCAGCTGAGATCATCATTGAGATTTCATGCAGCCACATTTTGCTACTCTTCTACGACACCTCACATTGTATGGGTACTCTCAGATTATCGTCGTGTCATTAGGACTGTAGAGCTTAGGATCAGGAATTGCTGTATATTTCTTCTTCTTCTGGATATTGAAGAGGCTACCAGAAAAACAATTCCATGCGAGTCAAAGGAATTATTCAAATTGTTAAGAATTTGAGAAGTCTATTGATACGTTTCTTGTCAAACCTGTTTAAAATGCTTCTCTCTGCAGACGATTAGGCGTGTCGGTGGGGCTGAGTTAGGCATGGCGCTAGCCGGTCCTCATCAGTTTTGGAAGCGGACAAGCTGCCGCGCCCAACCCAGCCCCCTCAGATGGCCCAGCGTCTTTAGCGGAAATATCTTTGCTCTCCTTGAGCTGCTTTTGTTCCCACACTGTCTTGGAATATGCCTTTCATTAGAGCTACGGATTAGTGTGATTGCTTGTTAGTTTTTTTCCTCGTTAAACAACCACCCGGTCAAGCCTATTTTAATCATAAGTTAAGCTTATCATTAGTGCGTGGTTTGGTTGTTCCTCCTTGCTTGCTCATTCATTCGAGACTGTGCGTCTTTTGTTGAATAATTCTAGTCTTTCTTGATGTCTATAGATGTTTCATTTTATCACTTGGAGAATAAATATATATGTACATTGGTTTTGATTTCTGAAATTAGCGAACTAACCTAGCGGAGTTTTAGCGGAGTTATCCGTATTTGAACAAACGTTTGTGTGAATGAAGCGAATCATATTTGGAAGATCACAGGTTGATGCTGACAACGTTAATCCGAAGAATCATGACAAACACAGCTGAGAAAGGAAGATCTTTAGTGAAGTACCACTACTGTATTCGGTTTTTACGATTTTACGATTACGGGTTTCCCAGGTGGTCCTATTCTACACTCCCTCAAAGTGAGGGTCAAGGATTACCTTCATTGAGATCTGTTTTTTTTCATTCGTATCAGAAGTGGTTCTGGTTCACCTTACTGATTCCTTGGAAATGGTTTGGATGCTTTTTGATGGGAGACGGACAACACAATCGCAATTTGCCGCGTCGTCCTGCGCGGCGAACTCTCGATGGACCCCAGTTCATCGATAGCGGCAACAAAACTCATATGAAACCAGGGAGACAAGACATGAAGGGCTATATAGTTTTCCAGTCTCTTAAAACTCTAAAACAGCCAGGCAGGATAACTCGTCTGTCGTGCGTGGCGTCGTTCGCCACGCCGACCAGCGCGGCGGATCACGATTGTCTTATCACCTACCGTTTTCGATCTTGCCGTACCAGATGGCCGAGCTCTGCCCAAGTGGTCGGGCTGCTCATATTATTATTATCCTTATTCTCAAAGAGGCTCTTTAAAAGAAGCCTGATGTAGATGTGCATCGTCACAATCTTCTTAGAAAAAAGGGTAGGAAATTTGCGTAATGCAACCAGTGAGCGAAGCTCGAGGTATCACAAGAATTCTTGATTTCGGCGCTGGGTAAGGCGCTCCATCTCAACCAAGGTTCAAACCACCTCTTGTGGCAGTTGCGTCCGAAAAGCGTCGGACTCATGCTCGCCTTCCTGCTGAAGGAAAGCGTTTACCAACACGCTGCAGTCTTATAGTCTGATGAGCTCGGGACATTAATGAAAACAAATCGAAGCTCAAAGAATTAAGACGTATTATTTTTAGATTGCTGTATGTCAGCTCACAAGT